GACCATGCATCAGTACCAGCCTAAGGACCACGAGGCTTGAGGAAATTAAGAGTCACTTTGTCCTCGGTGCCGTGGCTTTGCCCAGCTCCTCCACTGGCGCTGGGAGCTGCTTCCAGGGAGAGGTCCCCACTGGCTTTGATCCGAGACTCTGGGCTCTGGGAGCTGACAGCCCGGCTTTCATTTGTCTGACACGCGTTTGCCAGTGTGCAGGAGCAAGCAGGGACACCTGTACTGCCACGGTTTACATCGCCCTGCTCCAGGACGGCGTTGATTTGGGACGGGTGAAATACAAACACAAACTAATTAAAAACTGCACAATAGGCCCTGCAGGAACACGGTGGGGGAAAACAAATAAGACAAGTGCAGCTGGCAGGGCGAATGTGCCTCTGTCCCAAGCAACCGTCTGTGACATCGAATTAGAAACCCTGAAAAACCTTCCTCCCGTCACTGGCGATCACATTTGAAGCCGAATGGAGATGGCTGGGTTGAGGGGAAATTTATAAAATATTTGCATGCGCGTGCACACGCTTCCCTTCCTAGTGCACTTCCTCCTGCGCTTCCCTTCCTCCTGCACTTCCCTTCCTCCTGCACTTCCCTTCCTCCTGCACTTCTTCCTGCGCTTCCCTTCCTCCTGCACTTCCTCCTGCACTTCCCTTCCTCCTGCACTTCCTCCTGCACTTCCCTTCCTCCTGCACTTCCTCCTGCACTTCCCTTCCTGGTGCACTTCCCTTCCTCCTGCACTTCCTCCTGCACTTCCCTTCCTCCTGCACTTCCTCCTGCACTTCCCTTCCTCCTGCACTTCCTCCTGCACTTCCCTTCCTCCTGCACTTCCTCCTGCGCTTCCCTTCCTCGTGCACTTCCTCCTGCGCTTCCCTTCCTCCTGCACTTCCTCCTGCACTTCCCTTCCTCCTGCACTTCCCTTCCTCCTGCACTTCCTCCTGCACTTCCTCCTGCACTTCCCTTCCTCCTGCACTTCCCTTCCTCCTGCACTTCCCTTCCTCCTGCGCTTCCCTTCCTCCTGCGCTTCCCTTCCTCCTGCACTTCCTCATGCACTTCCCTTCCTCCTGCACTTCCTCCTGCACTTCCCTTCCTCATGCACTTCCTCCTGTGCTTCCCTTCCTCATGCACTTCCTCCTGCGCTTCCCTTCCTCATGCACTTCCTCCTGCGCTTCCCTTCCTCATGCATTTCCTCCTGCACTTCCTTTCCTCCTGCACTTCCCCTCCTCATGCACTTCCCTTCCTCATGCACTTCCTCCTGCACTTCCCTTCCTCCTGCACTTCCCTTCCTCATGCACTTCCCTTCCTCATGCACTTCCCTTCCTCATGCACTTCCCTTCCTCATGCACTTCCTCCTGCGCTTCCCTTCCTCATGCATTTCCTCCTGCACTTCCTTTCCTCATGCACTTCCCCTCCTCATGCACTTCCCTTCCTCATGCACTTCCTCCTGCACTTCCCTTCCTCATGCACTTCCCTTCCTCATGCACTTCCCTTCCTCATGCACTTCCCTTCCTCATGCACTTCCCTTCCTCATGCACTTCCCTTCCTTGTGGTGGTATGGTGGCACCCCAGGCAGAGCACAGAGCACCCAGGTCAGCCATTGACCCTGTTTCCTCAGCTTCCTGGCTTAGACTCAGCTGCTGTCTGGGCTCTTCTGTGGTGTGGAAGATTTTTCGCTGGGCATCTGATGACGCTTCGTCCATTCCTTCTGGATGCTTCTATCCGAGGTTACCTTGCAGTGTGCTCTGCCTGTACCCGCATCCTGGCAGCCCTGGGCAGTTTACTATGTGCCTTGGTCTGGGCTCCCTACAAAGAATGCAGCATGCGAGTGCCGGCCAGACACACAGGGCTCAGGCTGAGAGCAGCGTGGGCCATGCAGCAGGTTCCCTTCTGTGTGCGGGGCTGGCTCCACCATGGGTGGGGTGGGGTGGGTGCACTGTCTCGCTCTTGGCCAAACCCAGTGGCACCCAGGTCCAGCGGGGAAGGTGTGAAATCCTACATGACTGGAGGAGCACATATTGGGGTGGAGGGCCGGGCTGCAGCCCACCCAGCACAGGCCAGAACATCCTTGGAGCAAAGAACGGCCATGAAAGGCAGAGGAGAGGGGCGGTGCAGTCCAGGATGCCAGGAAGGAGCCAAGGCGCCCCTACCAGCTCCTTCCACTGAGGAGTGCCCCTACCCCCAAGCCTGGAGGTCGGTGGAGACAGATTTCGGAGGAAGTAAAATCAAATAAAATGGCGCCATGGCTGGTGTTGAGTTGTCAAGTCTCCTAGCAGAGAGGATCCAAGGAATGAGGGAATTGCTGGCAGACTCTGAAACCTACAGGGCTCTCCCTCTTGGGAAATGGTCCCCATTCCACGAGCAGACTCTCCAGCAAACCTGAAAACTGGCTTAAAACTCAACTTGGTCCAAAAGGCGCTGGTCACCAAAAGAGGCCTCGCTGCCTCTTTACCCCCTCCCGAGGGCTGCGTGCCCCTGCGCGGGCCGGGCTTCCTGCGGGGCGTCTGAACCAAGGCTCGGGGGTTTCCAGATTGGCTGGGCAGACCCAGCAGGTGCAGCTCTGACCACAGCGACCCCTGGGTCTGACAGGGCACAGCCCGGGCCACAGGCCCGGCCTGGGCAGTCTTGTGGAGGGGAGGGGCCGGCCTGCAGAGGCACCCCGCCCAAGTGAGGGGCTGCCACGCGCGCGCGCGCGGGCCGTGAGAAGTGTCTCTAGTGGCTTGTGGACCCAACTGTCGCGACTGGGTGCGTTGCTTCTCCGCGGCCCCAGCAGGTGGAGCCCCACAATCTTGAGCCCTCAAAGGCTATGGAGGCCCCAGCCCCCAGTCTTCTTCCTCTCCGAGGTCACCAGGATGACCCTCCCTGGTCCCTGGCGGAGCTGGTAAGAAAGCGTTTGATGGAAGCCCAAGGCTTCCAGACACCCGGCTCCTCTCGCGGCCGGCATGGGAGTCCGTGGAACCCTCCGCCCACTCCCGCTCCCCCTCGCTTTCCGCCTCTCCTATCACTAGGTTCGAACTTTGGGACCCGGGGCTGAAGAGGAAGACTCTGAAGACCTCCCAGAACTGGTTCTCAAGGTGGGGGGAGGGGGGTCATTTCTCTTGGTCTTTGGCAGTGGAGCCACAGTCCCGGCTCTGCACATTCTAAGCCTGGCGTCCCGGTCTTCTTACCACAGCGGTTCTTGGAGAGGGCTCACAGCACGTAGGGCCTAGCAGGCTCTCCCCACTCCCCTGGCCTGAGCTGACCTGCAGGTGTGGGGGAAGGGCTGTGGAGGGGGCAGCGGGTGGGTGGGCCATCTGCGTGGCTGCCCAGGCGGTGCCTCTGCCTGCCTCTCCCCTCGTGCCCCCTTCCCGGGCAGTCTCACTCAGACCTTGCCTTGGAGTGGGGGTTCTGCAGTTGGCTACGCCAGCACCTTGGTGTGGTCGGCCTAGTTCTCACTTGCAGCGCTGGGTTATGGGCTGAAAGGAGGAGAGCGGTGGCAGCTGCTGGCAGACTGATCTGGGGGTTGAAGGTGAAGGGGTGGGGTGGGAACCCACTTCGGATTCCTGTGACTGGAGCTCTTGGTGTCTCCCCTCCCCCCTCCCGTGTTTATCAAAGCAAGAAAAAAGCCCCAGCGTTCCCATCGGGGGTTCTGAAGTGTGCAGGGACAGGTTCGGGGTGGGGCATGGACAAAAGACTTAACTCAGAGGCAGAACCCCGTGACTGCGGAGCTGGTGATGGGTAATTACTGTTAGGGTCCTTACTGTGGCTAATTATAGGCCGCGGTTCAATGTCTTGTCCTCTGGCCCGGAAACCCGAATCTTCCGGATGATGCGGGAGTGCGGGGCCTGCAGACTCCGCACATCTCCAGGGTCAGGGGGTGGGGGTGCGGGGGTCTCCCGCTCCCCATGGCGCAGGGTCTTTGGCCGGCCCTCATCCCGGAGCCTTCCGAAGGGCCTGGGCCCGCGTCTGGGGCTCACGGTCTGGCGGGCACCCCGAGGAGGCACGGCGGGGACGCGGAGCCAGGCCAGCGGAGCCCGGCGGGCAGGGCGCCCAGGACGGCCGTCCCGCGCACGCAGAGGCCAGGTCTGGCGGAGGGGCCGACCCTGGGCGTCGGCTAGAGGAGCAGCGCCGCTGGGGAGTCTGAGGATGGAGCGGGGCAGCTCGGAGGCGGAGGGGCGCGCGCGGGGCCGAGGTCAGGCCGCGCCGTCCCCCGAGCTGGACAGGCATCTCCTCCGCGGGTCCCAGAGCTGCCCACCCGAGGACAAGCCAGCGGCCTCTCTCCCGGCCCGTCTCCACGCCCCGGGCCGCTGGGAGGGCCTCGGATCACCGGCCCCGGTCCAAGTGTTCACGGGTGGACGTGCGCGTAGGGCCCGGACCCTTCCCGCTTCCCCGGGGCCCCCGACCCGCCACCCGTCGGAGGGGTCGCCGAGTCAGAATGTGGGCGCAGAAAAAGGGCGCCGGGTGTCCTTCCTGTCCATGTCCGGGAAGGCCCCGAGGAGAGGCCTACGTCTGTGCCCAGCCCCGGGGCGCGCGGACGCCCGGTGCATTTTGTTTTTAAAAAAGGGAGGACGGCCCCCGGACGCCCCGCGGGGCGTCGGACCGCGGGGCGCCGGGGCGCGCGGCGGGGCCGGCGGGGAACGGTGCGCGGCCGCGCGCCCGCCGCGGGAGGAGGCGGCCGGGCCGGCGCGGGGCACCACGTGCTCGGCGGCAGGGGCGGGCGCGGCCGCGAGGGCGGGCGGAGCGGGGGGCGGCGGGGGGCGGGCGGGGCGGGGCCTGCGCTCGAGGGGATGCCAATCAAAGCGTCCGCTTCAAATTGTGTCCGAGAGCCCCGCCGCCGAGCGGAGCGCGGCCGCCGCAGTCGGCGCGCGAACGCGGAGCCGGGCGCAGCCGGGAAGCCGGGGCGCCAGGGAGCTCCGGGCCGAGGAGCAGCGCCCGCCCCCCGCCCCCGGGCCGGCTGAGCGCGCCCGGTGCGCCCCGCGCGGCGAACCCGCCGCTCCCCCGCCGTCGCCGCCGCGTCCGCGGCCATGTCCTTCCCGCAGCTCGGCTACCCGCAGTACCTGAGCGCCGCCGGGCCCGGCGCCTACGGCGGCGAGCGCCCCGGGGTGCTGGCCGCGGCCGCCGCCGCGGCGGCCGCCGCCTCGTCGGGCCGGCCCGGGGCGGCGGAGCTGGGCGCGGGCGCGGGCGCGGCCGCCGTCAGCTCGGTGCTGGGCATGTACGCCGCGGCCGGGCCGTACGCGGGCGCGCCCGGCTACAGCGCCTTCCTGCCCTACGCCGCCGACCTCAGCCTCTTCTCGCAGATGGTGAGTGCGCGGGGCCGCCCCGGAGCTGGCGGGTCCCGCGGGGCGCTCTGGGCCGCGGCTGCCGGGGCCGGGGGGGGGGGGGTCCGAGGGCGGGAGGGGGCGGGGGTCCGCCGGGCCGGCCGTCTCGGCCCTGGGAGGGACGCGATCGGCCCCGGGCCGGGGCTCTTGGGCGAGGGCGGCCCGGGGCGCGCGGGCCCGGGCGCCCCGCGCATTAGAGCAGGGCTCCCCCACCCCTTTCCGGCCCGCGGGCCCCGCTCGCTCGGTCTCGGCGGCTTTTTTTTTTTTTTGGTAAAAAAAACAGCCACCACACAAACCCCAAAGCGGAGCCTGGAAGAGTCGGTTTTCTGTCTTTGGCAGAATCGGGATAGTTGCGTCGGAGTGTGCCGGAGGGGATTCTTTAAAGCCTGGAAGGATCCGTGCAAGTAGCCCCGGCCGTGGACGCCCGGCGGAGCGGAGGGGCTCTCCACGGTGTGTGTGACGGTCTGGGGTTCAGAACGTCCCGTGGCGCTGACACCGGGGTCGGGGACGCGGCGCAACTGCACTTTTGTAACTTGCCCAAGTTTTCGTTCGCGGTGACCCCGAAAGAGAAGCGCTTCTCTGCCCAGATGGCATCATGGTGGATTCGGGGAAACCTGCGTCCCCGGGCTGCACACTCCCGCCGTCGGGTGCCGGCCTCGGCGGCTGTCAGAGGGAGGGACGGGGGCTGCAGACTTCCTTCTCGGCGCGGGCCCCGGCCTGTCCGCCTGTCCAAACCATCCATTTTCCGTGCGCCGACTGCCATGTCGGGGCGTGAACTTCGGGCTGTTGGTGAATTGCGGGGGGAGGGGGACGCTGGGACGGGGTGCAGCCCCGGGGTGCAGCCAGCGCCCCCCTAAACCCCGGGCGCCCGTCTGGAGCGCGCGATTCCGGGGCTTCTGAATGCTCGCGGCCCGGGAAGAGGCCGGGCCTCTCCCCGACGCTTCTCAGACTGCGCCGCCGGAGGAGAGAGGCAGGCCGGTCCCCGTCACTTTTTTTTCTTCTAGTTTTGCCAGAAAGCCAGTTTCTCTGGAATCCCGCCTCAGCTGCCTTCCAGGGCACTGACTACCCAGAAAGATCGGTTCCCATTTTGTTCTGGCCCCGGAATGCCCGAGAGGAGAGACTGATAAGGAGTCCCTTCCAAAGGAATTCCCCGCAGACACAAAGCTGGAATGTCTTCTTTACAATCGCAGCAACAAAACAATCTTAATAATAATTTGAAAAGCGCCGAGTACGTTTTGCAAAGAGAAGTAAAAACGAATTCTGGTCACGGGGACTTCTGTGCGGCCTCCCTCACCCGACTAAGCAGTCGGGGACGCGGGGGACTTACAACTTTCCCAGAGTCCCGAGCCCCCACTGCGAACACAACACAATTCTTGTTAAGTGGAGGACGGATTTTTCACAGAAATTTTGAATGCAGATGTTAGCCATTTGGGAATGCCGAATTTGTGTTTGTGGGGGAGGGAGAGAGATCAGCACAGGATGAGGTGGGGAAGGTGATCTTTAAAAAAATATTCTAAGGCTATATTTAAAAATATTTTTAACTGAAGGGAAAATGTAAAAACTTTTTTCCCTAAGCTGTTTGTGCCCCCCCCCCCCCAGGTTTCCTACCAATTCTCGGAAAGTAAAACTAAATTCAAAACTCCATTCTAGGCCTAAGTTTCCAAGCCTTGATGACTGGGTATTTGGAAGTCAAAAGATAAAATTGTAAGCGAGCGTCTGTCTGGGCAATTTATGGTAATAATGAGGCCTAATGAGGTTGTTAGAAAGATAAAATGTTATTTACCAAAAAACCTGATGGGATAATTTGACTTGCTGTGTTTTACTACTGATGATAAAAAGAATATTGATTGCAAATAAATCATCGCCTCTAAATGCCTGCAAACAGTTTGTGTTTGCTCTCTCCAGATCAAAGTCAAACTTAAAGAGATAAGGAGAAGAGAGAGGCCCAGGAAACTGAACCAACTCCCTCCTTGCAGCCAGCTGCTTGGAGGCCTGGTGTTAATATTTTACCGGATAAGCCCTTTTGTATTTTAAAAAAACAAACGGTGTTTTTGTTGTTGTTGGTGGTGATGGCCAGGATTAAAATTTTAAATTACCTGTCACCATTACAGACCTTGGAGTGCGGGCAAACCATTCTTTGCAGATTGATTTGGAAGAATTCGTTCCTTTTAAATTGCTGGTGGAATTAGATCCCCAGAAAGCAGGCTGGTTTATTTTGGTTGACCCCCTTCTGGGCGGAAGGGGTGGAGTGCCTGCGTTCTGGGTTCTGCTTGTTTGGAAACTGTGTCTTCAGCCCGGTTCAGAGGTTTTCCCCTCTAGCTATCCTGAGACAAACGTGGAAATCCGCTCGTGTGAGCTCTAGCGGTGGTGTCGCAGGGGCTTAGGGAGATGGCGTGGGAGTGGAGAAGCACAGATTCCGTGCCTTTTTGCAAAAGGCCTGCTTCTAGAAGTTTCTCTACAGTGAACAGAACTGATTTCCGCAATGAGTGGAAGCCGGTCCCGGGCTCACTTTGGCTCTGACAGCCCCTCTCCCTGTACTAGGGGGTCCTCTGGGTTGGGGTCATGTCGGCCCAGCAGAAGCCTGGGGGTGTCCGGTGAGCGGGTGCCAGGGAGGCTCTGGAGCATCTCCCCCCTCCCCCCTCTCCAAGTTTGCGGAACTCACTCTCGCTCTCTTTCTCTCTTTGCTTCCTCCTCCCTCCCTCGCGCTCCGCGGCCTCTCAGGGCTCGCAGTATGAACTGAAGGATAACCCCGGGGCGCACCCGGCCACCTTCGCGGCCCACACGGCGCCGGCCTATTACCCCTACGGCCAGTTCCAATATGGGGACCCTGGGCGACCCAAGAACGCCACGCGCGAGAGCACCAGCACACTGAAGGCCTGGCTGAATGAGCACCGCAAGAACCCCTACCCCACCAAGGGCGAGAAGATCATGCTGGCCATCATCACCAAGATGACCCTCACGCAGGTCTCCACCTGGTTCGCCAACGCGCGCCGGCGCCTCAAGAAGGAGAACAAGGTGACCTGGGGTGCGCGCAGCAAGGACCCGGAGGACGGCGCCCTCTTCGGCAGCGACACGGAAGGCGACCCCGAAAAGGCCGAGGACGACGAGGAGATCGACCTGGAGAGCATCGACATCGACAAGATCGACGAGCACGACGGCGACCAGAGCAACGAGGACGAGGAGGACAAGACGGAAGCGCCGCCGCGAGCGCCCGCCGCCCCCGCCCCCGCCGCGCCTGCCCGGGACCGCGGCTCCCCCCTGGCCGCCGCCGACCTGCTCGCGCCCGAAGACTCGCCCCTGGGCTTGGCCAAGGAGACCCCGGACCCGAGCAGCACACGCCTGCTGAGCCCCAGCGGAGCCGCGACCGGCGGCCTGCAGGGCGCACCGAACAGCAAACCGAAGATCTGGTCGCTGGCCGAGACCGCCACGAGCCCCGATGGCGCGCCCAAGGCGTCCCCGCCGCCGCCCGCAGGCCACCCCGGCACGCACGGGCCCGCCGCGGGCGCCCCGCTGCAGCACCCCGCCTTCCTGCCCAGCCACGGACTGTACACCTGCCACATCGGCAAATTCTCCAACTGGACCAGCGGCGCCTTCCTGGCGCAGGGGTCGCTGCTGAACATGCGCTCCTTCCTGGGCGTCGGCGCGCCCCACGCCGCGCCCCACGGGCCACACCTGTCCGCGCCACCGCCCGCACAGCCGCCGGTCGCCGTGGCCGCAGGGGCGCTGCACGTGGACAAGGCCTCAGCCCGAGGCAGCCCCGCGCTTCCAGGTACCGCGCCAACTCGCTGGGAATGGAGCCCGGGGACCGTGGCCGGGGTGGCGGGATGTGCCCAGCCGAGCTGAAGCCCTGGGGCCTGGAGAGCTGCGCTCCGCCCCCGGGCCTGTCTTGGGGGGAAGCCTGGCTCTGGCTGGCATACTTGGGCGGCTGGGGGGGAGAGCGGGTGGGCAGCGGGCACGATCCTTCCCATCAGTCCCTCCCTAACCCTCTGCTTCGTCCACTCCCTAGCAGAGCGAGACCTCGTCCCCACGCCAGACTCGCCGGCCCAGCAGCTAAAATCGCCCTTCCAGCCGGTACGCGACAAGTGAGTGTCGGAGGCTTTCCGGGAGGGTCAGGGGTGGAGGTCGGGGGCGCCCTGGCCGGGCCTCACCGTCTTTTCAGGCTGAGTGAGACCCGGAGGAGTGAATTTCTCCCGAGCCGGGAGCCCCGCGGGCCGCGCCCCTAGGCGCGGCGGGGCAGCAGGGTCCCAGCGCCCGTCGGCCCCCTGACCCGTCTCCCGCCTCCCCGTCTCCCCCGCAGCTCGCTGGCTCCACAGGAGGGAACGCCGCGGATCCTAGCCGCCCTCCCGTCCGCCTGATGCAGGGTCTCCGTTTGCTTTTGCGAGGGGTGGGGGGAGGCGTTGGGGAGGGAGGGGTGCGGGAGGAATGGAGACAGGTATTTCAGACTGGTGTACAGGACAAGGACGACGACGACGACTACGGCGGCGGCGGCGTGAAGGACTCAGCATCGCTTTCTGCAGACGGGCTCCTCACCCGGCCCGCGCGCGCGGCCCGGCCTCTGCCCGCGGCTCCGGCCCGCGGCGGGCACCACGCTCCGGTAAATGCCCTCACGTGCTTGTGTCTTCTCCTTTTTTCTTTTTCCTTTCTGTATATAGTGATTTCAGATTGTAAATAGCGCGTCAGCGAACTTGTCTAAATCATATATTTTTGTCTAATAAACTAAATGAAATGCCCAGTGCTCCTCTGCTGCTGTGCATGCTGAACTCGGACCCTGGTAACCCGGGCCGGGGGCTGGAGGGAGGGAGGGGGTAAGAGGAGGTAGGGGGAGGTAGAGAGAGAGGGGGGGAGGAGAGGGAGAGAGAAGAGAGGGAGAGGAGAGATAGAGAGAAGAGAGGGAGGGAGGGGGTAGAGGGAGGGGGGAGAGGGGGAGGGGGAGAGGGGGAGCAGCCCTGGCCAGCCTTCTCCCGCGGCCGTTGTGGGGAGCGTTCCCACCCAGGGAGCCGAAGTCTTTTGGTTGTGATTGTTTTTGTTGAATTTGTTACATTGTTCCCGTGCCATTTATTATTGACAGCCGAATTCTTTCTAACTGCGCACTCAAGTTATTTATCTGGAGCAGGCTTTTCTTTGGGAGTAAATGAATCTAGTTTTAGGCAGTTTACAAAACGATGCTTTAAAGTGGATAAAAATGGGGGTTGGGGAAGAGTTTGCAACCACGCTCCCAAGGGAGAACTTGTGAAGCCCGTTCCTCACTGGTGGGCTGCGCTACGTGAAGCCCGCTCCCCACTCCGGGCCCGAGCGGGGCATTTCGGCCTAGGGTTGACTTCGTGGAAATACTGCAGTATGGACTATTGCTTTAGGTGTATTTTTTAGTCACTTAAGAAGTTGGGAGGAACTAGAACTCCCTTTAGCTTCTCACGAGATGGGAAGCGGGGCCCCGGGAAGTTTTCGGCGCGCTCAGCGAGGGGGCAGTGTCTGCCACGGGCGGTGAGAGGGGAGAATCGGCTTTGGGGTGCCTAAGACCCCGGTGCGTCCTCTGCTGTGGGGCTTGGGGAGCACACGGAGCGGGCCACAATCAATCACCCGAAGGGCGAAGCCGGGCGAGGGCCGAGGCATCGGGAGGCGTTGGGGCACGAAGCGCAGGGCGGCGCGGTGGGGCGGCAGGGGCGGCTGGAGGCGGCGGGCAGGTCGCGCCGGGGTGCACGCGGGGCAGGGCGCCCTGACGCCGGGAGCGGGTGCGCACGGTGCCCGAGGAGCCCGGGCTCCGGGGACACAGACGATCATGGAATTCGTAACAACTACGAAAGCAGACATGAAAAGACTGCTCTTGAGTATTCGGGCTGAAAAATCCCGCGTCCTGGGAAGGCACACTTCCGAGTCTCCCTCCCGGAGCTCGCCGGTCCCCGCCGCGCCCAGGCTGTCTTCCGCCTTCCCGGCGGGTTGAGACCCAAATGCTCCGGTGATTTCATCCGCCGCGCGGCTGCTGGGTCTTGGGAAAGTCGTGGCCCCGGTGCCTTTGCCAGCCGAGAAAGAAGAGAAGCGGGGAGGGGGGTGTGGAGGGAAGGGGGAGGAAAGCCGCGCTAGAGCCGCCCTGCCCCTCGCGCGCCCCCTCCTCGAGGCTGGGTCCTCTGCCTGCCTGCGGGGTGGAGCAAGAGCGGCGGAGTGCGCGCGGAGGGGCGCGGTGGGTAATTGGGTGGATGGGGCCGCGAGGGACCGGGCCGCGCGGACCGAGTGGGCCGCAGGCTCGGCCGGCTCGCGGCGGACCAGTTTCTCGGTCGGAATGGACGTGCTCGAGGCGCCCTCTATGGTCCGAAAGCAGAATGGGGTCTGATCCGTCCTGCGTGGCTTCCGTGGCGCGCGGGCCAAGTCTGGGAGTGCGGCGCCTCGTGATTCCTCGGGCCGGAGCCTCGGCTGGCGGTTGCGGGGCTAGCTTGGTGCTCACGGGTAGCCCGCTTAGTCCGGCTGTTCGGGCGGGGACGGGGTGCCGGTCGGGGGCGAGGCTAGTCTTCTGGGGCTTGGGGGAAGAGAGTATCCAGAGCCCTGCGGTGGTGCGTTGTTAGAAGGTCGGCGGGATCGCTGTCAGTCCTCAGCCGCAAACCCTCCGGTGTGGCCACAGCCCCACCTCTCTGTTCTGAAGGTCCCGAGTGTGGCCTCTGCCCACCTTACCTACACGGGGCAAATGCGCCTAGCACTCCGGTCCGGGTTGCACCTAGAAAGCGCCTTGATCAGCCATGTCCTCCCCTGAAATGAAGCTCGGTATCTCCAGCCGCACAGGCTGCTCAGGAAGCCCTTCTGAGCAGCTGCAGGGAGCAGTGGGTATGTAGGTTACTTAAAAAATCAGTTTCTCTGCTGTAATTGGATGGTCCCAGATGGTGTCTGCTGCCTGCACCCCGAAACTTCCATTCTGGAGTGTGTGTGTGTGTGGGGGGGGGTGTACAAGCTCATCATAGGGCTTGAACTCTGGACCTGAGCTTGTTTTCCCCTCAAGGCCAGCACTCTACTACCACTTGAATCCCAGCTCCATTTCTGGCTTATTTGGTGCCCAACTTGGTTTCAAACCAGGATCCTCAAATCTCAGCCTCCTGAGTAGTTAGGATTACAGTCTGAACCAATGGGTGCCTGGCATATTTCGTATTTATCTTTAATTTTTTTCTACAGATGAAAGTGGAGGGCCTGGCGACAGTGGCTAGGCCATCACCCAGACAGGAGCTCAGGCCCAGGGATTGGTGGTCTAGGCATGGTGAGCCGATGGTGATGTTCAGATCAGGTGTTCACTGTACACAGTTAGAGCACAAGCCTCTTGATTATGTTTCTCCGGTGAAAAGATAGAAATGAATTTTCAGTCAAGGTTTAAAAACTGTTTGCAGCGCTTGGTTGCAGCTTTGGCTGTCGATGTCAGTGTCTGGAGACTGGGCTGTGCACCCATTGCATCTCTCCACAGACGCCTCCAACACCAAAGCAGTTGGTCCTGGGGAAGACTTGAGCTGTTGGAATGAAGCGCTTACCCACCCCTCCACACCTGGCTTGGGGGGGTGCTGCAGCCGACCCCTAGCTGGGTCTCTGCTCCCATCCTGGCCAGGCCTGAGGGTGATTGCCTGGAGACTCCCCCCTCCCGTCCTCCCTCCTTCCCTAGATCAATTATATTCACCAGCACATTTATCTCTCCTACAATATGGAGAATTCATATTCATATCTCGGTTTTCGTGGTCTGACACTGATTAATGTAATATGCGCCTTGGCTCCGAGGGGCGAGAGGCGCACCTCCAGATGAATCATGCCGGGCGAACTTGGAGTTGTCCTTCAGAGAGCGGGAGCTGAGGGGAGGGAAGGGGGGAGGGAGGGGCCGTCTGGGTCGCTGCGGCACCCCAGGGTGCTCAGGGCGGGTTCGGAATGTCGGGGAGCAGCCCCCACTCCCCGGCTCTGTTTCAACACTGGGCTGCGCAGTTCAGTTCGGGGCTCAGCCCTTTCTCCCTCCCCGTTCCTGGCTGCCCGCTGTCCCCCAGGCTCCAGAGCAGAAACTGCGTTTTGTGGGAACCGACTCGAACCCACAAAATCTGCTTCTGAAACAGACAGGATCCTAGAAGATCCGAAAGTGGGGGACAAGCCAGAAGGGGATCCCGACTTTGAGGAGCCACGGCAGCCCGGGCGAGCCCCCTGTGCCGAGGGGCTCTCTGGGTGGGCGGGGGTGTGTTCTGGAGCCTCTCCGACACCAGCACGGAGGCCATCCACAGGGGCTACCGCTGAACCGAGGCCTGGGCCGGTCCGCCGGGCAGCAGCCTCCAAGCCCCCCCTCCCCGCGCTCCCCCGCGCCCCCCCGCGGCCCCACACCCCGCGCTCCCCCGCGCCCCGCGGAGCAGGCGCTCTCATTATGGCTCCAAAGACCATCCAGCTGCCGGGCGGCCTTGGCACTCCGCCGCCGGGGCTGGACAGGGCAAGGCCGCAGGCCAGGGACGGGCAGCGCCAGGAGCACTGAGCTCGGCCCCACTCTTTCCCGAGCCTATGAAAATGTTTTAATCCATTTGCCAGTTGGACACAGAGGGGTTTCTTTCTTTTTTTAACCGAAGAGATCGTATTATACACCAAGAGATTCTCCTTCGTGTCTAAACTACCCTGGAATGTCGTTTTAATATTGACTTTCGGTGGAGCAGTCCTGGAGGAAAGGATCTGAAGCTCGGGAGCTGACCTGGGGTCTCCCCTGGGAGGAGGCCCCGTGGGAAGCCCCAAACCCCAGCATTGCCCAAGAAGAGGGGTGGCCAAAGAGAGTCCCCCAGGGGGGTGAGGGAGGCTAGCTGTAGACTCGGGGTTTCACTTTTTCCCAGTTTCCTGCCTCTACCCACCCCTGGCCCTCGGAAGCCATATCTACCCCAGGGTAGTGTTTTTGACCAAGGGACAGCAGCTCAGCAGTCACTTGGTGGCCCAAGTGGTAGCCCTTTCTGCCAACGGTGTGGATTCTGAGGATGCTTAAGGTGTCTGACCTTAATCATTTTGTCTGGCTTCCTGGGCATGATGGCTTGGGGGAGGGCACGTGGCTGGGGGATGGGGACCCTGTGGCTGGGCTGCAGCTAGGGGCAGGGCAGGGCAGGGCAGGGAAGATCTGCCTGGCCCTGGCACGCGAACCCTTGGGCCCATGGCAGAAAGTCCTGAAGGCCTTTTGTTATTATACAAATTATCATTTTGATCCTCTGCAGAGGAGAAGAAGGCATCTTGATTTCTCCCAACGGATCTATAAGAGGTGGTTGTTCCAGAAGGTAAAGAGTCACTGAACTCCTGCCTTTCAGTCTCCAGGTCTCCCCTGGGTCGCCTGTTTGTTTGTTTGTGCTACCTTCGCTTGCTTTGCTTGTTATCGAAATTTAAACGTATGCTTAATTGCTAGTGCCTTGGATAGCTGCAGCAATGTCTGAAAATATTAAATACATCTGCGAGACGGTGAGCAAGAGAAATTAAAAAGGTGCTCGCTGCCCTGAATGTTAAAAAGATCTCACAATGAAGTGATTAACATTTTTATGAATAAAATTAATCACGCATTAGCTCTGCTGCACTGTACATCTGAAACCCCAATGTGGCGGCCTCCTTCTTGCTCACCCCCAAGAGCTGTGGGAGGCCAAGCTCCCCGGGGCAGGTGCTCAGCCCCCAGGCCTTCAGAATCTTCATGAAGGGTTACTTCAATAATAAGTATGCAGGACTGAAAGAGAAGAGGTCAACACTCGAAATACCACCATCACCACTGACATGTG